GGGTACCCTATTTTGGGAAATGCCCAGTGTCTTCAGATCCTGTCCCGACTCTCCAGGGTGTTTATCTTAGCTGTCCTGCGTGCATGTTGCGTACCATCGCATGAGAGGACGCTGAGAGTGCTCCAGCGCACGCGCCGAGCACCATGGCGTGCCATGGAGCCTCTACACTTCGCATGCTGCCGCTCATGGCGCGCCTCGCATGTCCTTTGCGCAATCCCTCGCGCGAGATGTTTGTGCATCTGTCGGCTTGAGACGGTCACTCGAGCTCAGAAGCCTTGCGAGAGTTCCGCCCCAGTGCCCGCTCCCTTCTTCGCTTGCCCTTGCGCATGGTGCGCGGGCACGAGGCACCGCCGGCGGGGGCTCTGCAGGCTCCGTAGGCTGTACGGGCTCCGTGGCACCGTGGTCGGTGCCCGGCCTGCGGCAGCTTCCGGATGAAGCAGGGGGATGGCTGCTCTCCAAGGTTCTCGGCTTAGGGGGTGTTGGTAGGGTTTGTGTAGCATTCATAACCCGAAACCCTAGACCCCAAACCCCAAACCTAAATGGGCGGGCACATTTAAGCTAGGCACTCCGAGGTGGACCAAGCGGAGGGTTTGGCAATAAAAGGAGCTCTGTGAGCTGCCTCCGGCTTCACAGGCCTAAGGGCCTTGCCCTCGTTTCGGGGTCCCTGGGGTTGAAGGCTTTTCCGGCGAATTCGCCTGCGATTTGTGGCAGCTCCGTCGGCAAGATTCTTTCCCGAAGCCTTCCGCAGAGTCATCTGGGCCGGCAACGTCTGAGGTCCCTGGCATGTAAGCCTTGCACTGGCATCAGGATTTCAAGAAAGAAGCCAGCCGTTGCGCCAGCCGTTGCTTTCGGGTGCTACCCTGTGCCACAAAAGCGCAAGCGCCATGGTAGATCATCCTTCAAAGGGTATATGTAGGGCCCTAGTTCCCTCATTCCCTGCTAGCCAACAGTAAGGCAGAGCATCGTGAGCCTGCCCCATCCTGATATGCCGTCGGGCAGGTGCGCAAGAACATCGGAGTGGACTGCCAATGTCACGAGTTTCCACGATGACAGCTCTTGATGTCTTCGACGCGCGAGGCAGTGGCCCGACACCAAGCACACGGGATCTCGGATAGATTTACACTGGAGTGCTGTTTTCTTCTCCGGAGATTCCGGACTGAGCCCACATGTCGGATCTACAACAGAAGACACAATCTGGCCTCCGCATGAGGGAGGGGGCACCCCGGCCCATTCGAGTGAGACACACTTGCCGTGCCCAGGGCATGCTTGAATGACGGAGCGACAAGGCAAAGCCTGGGTCTGAAGAATCACCGCTCGGACGATTGCCCTGGGTTCTTGACGCGCGCGACTGCGCAAGGCGCAGTACAAGAAGTTAGGGGGGACGAGGGTTACAGCAAGGTTCAAGCATGAGGCATCCCCTCAGTCCGGGGCCTGCGTGTCTGGTGCCCAGAGCATGACACTTGTTTGCTGGACAAGTCGGAGAGACATGGCCCTACAGGTAAGCCTAAGCCCTATCCCCTGGACCCTAAACCCCAAAAAGTGTTACTAAAAGGCTCTGCCTGGAGGCACTTGGAGGTCGGAGAGTTGCGGGGCCTCGCGGCGGTTGCGATGGCCAGAAGGGACATAGCCGACACTGGGCTGGCACACAGTATGTGCAGTTCAGATTGCTGGGATGGATGGCCTTCGCTTTGAGGAGCTAATTCGGAACAAGATTCATAGGCGTGGCGGCCCCGTTCGCCACTGACAGCTGACGATTGCAACCCTTTCCGCTTCCAAGTGGTGAAGTCTAGCAACTCCCGGCCGTTGCAAGCTCTTGCATGCCCGGGCGTGCCTGTTGTCTGACTGTACCGCTGTGCAGCTCAGCCCCCAGCCTACTTGCAGAACTCAAGGCAGCCCGGTTTGAGCCTTGAGACTGTTCCCTTCCTGAATCTCACCATCATGCTCAGGCCCGCAGACTTCATGCGCACTCGCCGCCGACGCCGGAGGTCGAGAAGGGCCCACAGTTTTGGATGTTTAGGGTTTAGGGTTTAGGGTTTAGGGATTGAGAAGCTCCGACAAGTCTCTGACAGCTCCGATCACGAAGAGCATGCCAACAATGTGTCAGCAGCGCTGGGGTTTACAGCTGAATGTTACCTGACCGGGTCCGTCCGAGACACAGCCAAAGCAGCCACTGAAAGCGCCTTTACAGATTTGTCAAGCATTCTTCTGCATTAGCCCTCCATGTGTGTGTGTGTGTGTGTCTACCTGTGATCTTGCACAGTGTCGCGCTCAAGGGCAAAATGTTCGGAGTGTGCCGCGAGAGCTGCAGTGTCTGAGTGGGTCTCTGCTAGTCTTTGATTCTCGTCTTGTAATCGGTTGTGTGTGTGCATTTATCCCTAAACCCTAAACCCTAAACCCTAAATCCAGGGTTGCCACGGTTCGGTACGGTTTCTGAGAATCGCGAACCTTAATTATGCGCGGTTCGGTTCCAGTCCGGTTCGGTTCGCACGGTTCGGTTCGGCGGTTCGGACGGTTCGCATTCAGTGCATGTCACTATAAGGGTACCCTAAACCGTATGACAAGAGCCGTCGTTTCTTTCAAGGTATGTTGTGCTCACCTTGTGATGGGGGGCTGAACCCTAGAAAAACCACCTTACACCGTGCAATCTGGCAGCTTTGTGGCTTGAAAAGCGTGGAGCAGGGCGAACACAAGCAAGCGGGGGAGTAGCTTTGTGGCTTGAATCCTCCGAAAAAGGGGGGGAAGCAGGTAAGCACGCGGGGGAGTACACAATCTGGCAGCTTTGGGGCCTGAAATGTCCAAAAAGCGTACTCCCCCGCACGGGCCGGGGGGGGGGGAGCAGGGAGGCACGCGGGGGAGTACACAATCTGGCAGCTTTGGGGCCTGAATTGTCCGAAAAGCATACTCCCCCGCACGGGGTAACTTGCTTCCCTCCAAATTCCCCCCCTTTGTGGAGGTGCTTTTGGTTCGCGAAACCAAACCATCACAAAAATCAACACAAAAAATGTTTTCAAGATAGACCCCCCAAAAATCCCAAAAATCCTACACAAACACAACCCCAATCCCAAAACGACTTTGCACCTTAATCCTAAACCCGCGAAACCCCAAAACCATAAATCCGAACAAAACATATTTACAAATGACCTCAAAAGAGGTTCTACCCAAAATATACCACCAATTCCCATATAACAACAACACCAAAGCCCACAAAAAACCTAAACTACCAAAACTAAACACCCAAAATCCCTACCCCCCAACCCCTCCACTCACTCCTTCCCTCCACTCCATTCCACTCCACTTCGCTCCACTCCACTGGTTAGGCTTCAGAACCTTTTCCGGTTCGGTTTTCTACGGTTTCGGTTCGCTCTCGTTTCGGTTCTTTATCGGTTCGGTTCCCGCGGTTCCGGTTCCCGGTTCGCGGTTCGGTTCCGCGGCTTTCCTGCAAATCTTGTATGGAGTAGCTGGACCAGATCGATGCAGCGTTACTCGTAGCGGTCTGACTCATGACGTTCCTTGCTCAAGGATGATCACTAACCCCTCAGGCGAGAGAGAAGACTTTCAACTCGCTGGGTTTGGGGTTTAGGGTTTAGGGTTTAGGGTTCAGGGGTTTAGGGTTCAGGGTTTAGGGTTTAGGGTTTAGGGTTTATGCTAAGGTTCTGCGCACATCACCGCCGTGGGACGTGTGTTGCGTTGTTTCGTTTTGTGCGCGCTTAGGTTCGCGTTCCCCCCCAACCCACCCACCCACATCTCAACCCTGGCAGTTTCAGGTTTAGCCACGGACCTGGTCACGCACGAACGCCCCAGTACAGGTGGTGAAGACCTTGAGCAAGCGTGCTGTCACAATTTGTGACATGTACAAAAAGCCATCAGAAACATGGCTTTCGACAAACTTCATAATATCATACAGGACTCACATGCTGAATGCCCAGTCCCGCAGATGCTCCGGTTCAGGTGGTGACAGAAGCCTCGGTTCATACGGTCAAGAAGCCTTGTTTCCGTCTAGATCATGATCTAGACGCGGCTTTCCATATTGAAGCACAGGGTGATGAGTCTGCAGGTCGGCTACAGCACTCCGGACAGACGTGGCGTCTATGTTAGTTTCGATGTGGGGGGATGGGGGGTTCAAAATTCGGGTCCCTTTGTGCCGGCCCAAGCCAGTATATTGTATATATTTTAAGATGCCTAAACGGCCCCCGGAACACACAAGTTTGTTGTTAAAAGCATCTTGCCAGTGCTAGTGAAGACGTCCTTGCAACTTTCACCCTGCTCAATGCCATCTACATGCAAGGAGGAGGACGTTTCAGCCCGGCGACCACGTTGGAATGGAACTGTGGTCCTACTTATCTAGCTCGATGTCGCTTGTGCCTGGGATTTTGTCTGTGCTGGGCCTCCTTCTGGCTCTCAGCTGAGATTTGGTTCCAGGCTTCGGAATACTCTCTGTAGGAGCGTGTCGCGCTGAAAGCCAGCAGCCACTGCGACCGAAGCAGCTCGCAGATATAGAAGTTGAGAGAATTTGGTGGCTCGGGAGAAAAGAGGTTCGAGTAAACTCATCGAGTGAACTGCAGCGTGCCACTGCCACTGCGAAAGCAGCTTGGCCCTTCTCTTGTCATGGACCGCCTACATTGAGTTGTATTTAATATTGTATTTGTTCCTACAGTCCTACAGTTTCTTACGCCTGTGTAGTACGAGTACTAGTACTAGTAGTAGTAGTAGTAGTAGTAGTAGTAGTAGTAGTAGTAGTAGTAGTAGTAGTAGTAGTAGTAGTAGTAGTAGTAGTAGTAGTAGTAGTAGTAGTAGAAGTAGTAGTAGTAGTAGTAGTAGTAGTAGTAGTAGTAGTAGTAGTAGTAGTAGTAGTAGGAGTAGGAGTAGTAGGAGTAGTAGGAGTAGTAGGAGTAGGAGTAGTAGTAGTTCTAGTCGTGGTCGTGGTGGTGGTGGTGGTGATGGTCGTATCGCCTTGGTGCCTTTGGGTCAAGCGCCTTTGCGCTGAGGGTGAGGCATCTGCCATGGCCCTCACATCCCTTTCCTCCCTCACTTTCATCCTTTTCATATTGCATGCGGTACTTACTGCGTCGGAGCCTTGCAGCTCCTGCCAAACGGCCCAAACGGCCCGTGGCTCTGAGCTCCTTCAGCGAAGGACTCAGAAGGCCTTGAAGGTGGACACAACTACGCTGAGCTACGAGGAGTTCCAAGGCTTCGTGGAGAAGTCCTTCGCCCGTGCGAAGGAGCTGAGGGAGTACAGCCAGCGCGGCAAGCTCATCCTTCAGAAAAGCTTCAGATCCTTCGATTCTTCTCATTACAAGAGCTTCAGCCAAAACCTCACATGCATTGAGAACGTCGAGCAGGGCTTCGATCACTTTGTTGTGACGTCCAAGCTGGACCTGGAGCTCACTCCGCTTGAGCTCCAGAGCTTCCGCGCGCGCGTGGTGGAGGAGATGGAGTACTTGTGCAAGCACGACAACATCACCGGACACGCGCAGTACGTGGCAGACTTTATGCAGGCCCTTGAGGACGAGCGACCAGTCTTGACAAGTAAGTTGCAAGACATTTTGAAGGAACAGTACCACGATGTGACCTTTGAGTTCGCGGGCTGGCTGGTCAACTTCACGACGATAGATGTCCAGCAGCGTACAGGCCTGAAAGATCCTCACGGGCCTCACGACAATAGGACCCAGCTGCTGCAGATGAGCCAGAGGACAGTGGAGCGCTTGCAGAGACTTATTTAGCCAGCAGTTGAACTTTCAATTCCTTTGGTGGGCTTCCTTACTTTGTAGTAGGAGTAGTAAGACTTTGCGCACGTGGCTTTTTATTCCTTGCCCAGTGTTTGAACGAAGGAAAAGCAGGCTTCTTTCGAGCTTCGACGCCCGCAGGCATTGGCCCGACTGCAGCGAAATCATCGGCCGGATCCACAACCAAGGTATGGCCCCTAGGCTAGGGGTTAGGGTTTTGGGTTTAGGGTTTAGGTGAGTTCTCTAAATTATGGCCCCTTGTTGGGGTACCCTCAATAAGAGGGGGCCGCCTTGAAAGAAGGACCCCAAAAGGGACCCACTTTCGGAGAAGTGACCGTATCCACTAATCCCCACTCCCTATTACTCAGCCCCCACCCCCCCTATAGCCCTAGGGTTTAGGGTTTAGGGTTTAGGGTTTTGGGTTGATGAATACTCCCATTGTAGTTCTACGTGAGGGCATATTTACTATTCGGGGGGTAGGGGGTCTACTACTTGGAAGACCCTTTTGACTTAGTAAGTAGGGTTAGGAAGATTCAGCTCGGGTTCGGGTCTGCGTGTAAACCCTAAACCCTAAGCCCTAAACCCTAAACCCTAAACCCTAAACCCTAAACCCTAAACCCTAAACCCTAAACCCTAAACCCTAAACCCTAAGCCCTAAACCCTAAAGTGTTGGGGCAGGTCGATGCGGCAGGCCAGGCTGCTTCCTTCTGGCAGAGAAAGAAACTTTGAGCGTGCTTTTTTCTTTGCGTAAGAAGACACACGCTTCAAGTATCTTTCCTACTGGATAATCCCATAAAGGGTTGAAACCCGAAACCCGAAACCCTAAACCCTAAACCCTGAACCCTATACCCGAAACCCTAAACCTGGCAGTTGCTGGGCCTTCGGTGTCCTCGGCGCCGTGGAGAGCCGTCTGTGTATCTCCACCGACGGTTGCTTGACTTTTTAGGATTGGGGGTTTAGGGTTTAGGGTTTAGGGTTCTGCGTTTCATTGAGGGTTTAGGGTTTAGGGCCCCTTCCGGGATTCTTGTACTACGCAGCCTTCAAACACATTGAAGGCAACCCTAAACCCTAAACCTTAAACCCTAAACCCTAAACCCCAAACCCTTAACCCTAACAGGGACAATGTAGAGAGCTACGGATGTGGTGCTCATGAGGCATTTTCAGCGGGGGCCAAGCGCAGCTCTCTCGTGCCTTCGTGACATCCTGCACCTACGCGAGATACTGGGCTCTTGTTACTGTTAAGAAACTGAGATACAGTTTTCACATCACCGGGGTCTTCTTGCAAGTTGTGTGTGTGTGTGTGTGTTCTCGTCTTATGGGTATTTTGGGATCCCGTTTATGGGTACCCAAAAAGGGACCCGAATTAGGGAACTGCCCTTATGGTAGGTTGGTTCAGTTCCTCGCAACCCAGGAAATGGCTGCGATGGAGGTTGGCCAGAAGACGTCTTCAGGCTTGGTACTCAGGTCACACATGTGCCGGTTCGGAGAGACTTCGCAACCTAGACCCCAAAAAAGGATGCCTAAACCCTAAACGACCTGGACCCCAAACCCTAAACCTTACAGTAAACCCTGAACCGTAATGTGTTGAGTTTCGAGGTTTTTGGAGAGCACGGGGTCACCGACGGGCGGCGACGCAGGCTGTTCGCCGTACATCGTGCATGGAGATGGCACGGAGCACTTCATCATGTCTACCACGTCACCTCCCTGCCCAACGGAGTGCTCCAACAAAGCGTTCCCCAAGACCATGCATGAGGAGGGTTTGGGCCTATAGGGTTTAGGGTTTAGGGGTTGGAGATTCGGGGGCTTTTCAGACGCGCACCATGAGGACACCTTCTATCCCCGTGGCACCCACTTCCGCCTCGACCTCCATTCGGCTGACCCGGCCGTCGCATACCAGCTGGTCCGTGAGGCGATCTTGACGGGTGGGCCAGTGGCAGCATTACTTCACGTCGATGGCCCGTTTTTTGCCTACTCCAGTGGGGTCTACACCCACAGCTGTGACCAGCATCCCAACCACGTGGTGGTTGCTATCGGTTGGGAGCCTGATAGCTGGATCTGCTTGAGCTTTGGGCGGCAAGAGTGTTGTTGTGCATTCTGTTGTTCTGTGTGAGCCTTTCTGAGCCTCCTGAGCCCTTCAATAGTTCCCAGTTGACACACTGTCCAGGTTCAGTCTCTACAGGAAAGGGGGCATCGATCAAGAAACAGGCACGGCCAAAGACAGAGAGCACCGAAAATGGTTCAACATGAGGCCAGGCAGCTAGATGATTGTGGCAAAGCTCTCAATAATCTCTCAAGGCTGAACATCCGTGCTCTGTGTTTCTTCGCTGCCCATTTTAATAAAGTGCTTTCCTGACAGCTCAGGAATTCATGGGGTACCGATTGGGGTGACCGTGGCAGCTTCCGGGTAGGACTCTGTGTGTTGACGGATGTATACATCCCAACGGTCAGCTTGGAGGGCAGCAACGTGGAAAACTACGCTTTCCCCTTGGCTGGCAGGGTCCAGACCCCAGCGCCCGGACTGAATCCTGCAGCACGATACCCCACCGTCGACGAGGGCATTGCAGCTTTGGGGTACTGGACTGTGGACAAGCACTGCGAATGCATCAGCGCCTGCCGGTGGGACTGGAGGACCTCGACGTCGAACTGCGACGCAGAATGGAGCTGCCAGCAGCAGAGTGGCTGGGCATTTCCTTGTGAGAAAAAGCCCCCTGCAAGGCTGTTGACCGAAGCCTCCTGTGACTTCGAACTTGCCTGCGCTTGGACCAACGAGGGTGCCAGCCATTGGACACTCTCCGGGGACGCGCCCGCACCTCAGGGACCCTCCAGTGCTGCTTCGGGTGCGAACTACATCTACATTCACTCCAACTCCCCAATGACAGCCATCTACCAGAGCCCAACGCTTAATAGCAGCCTGAGCTACACCCTAGCCTTTGCTTACCACATGAATGAGAACGTCGGATCTCTGGACGTCGAGGTCGGGGATGCGCATGGACGCTTCCACTCCGTTTGGCGCAAGACTGGTAACCAAGGTGGCCATTGGAAGATGGCATCCCTGCAGATCAGCGCGACTGTCACCGTTCGGTTCGTTGGACGTACCAGCGGCGGGAAGAGCAGCAACATCGCACTCGACGATGTCCTGCTATCCCAAGCTACCATCACCGCCACCACGACCACAACCACCACGACTGTCACTGTCTCCTTGTCAAAGCAGGGCCCCGCTCCGATATCTTGGTTGCCTTGCGCTTTTGACTCTGGCGGCATTTGCCACTGGACAAACGAAGGGGAGATCTCGTGGATGGTGAACGCGGGAAGTACTCCCAGCAGGGGAACTGGCCCTGCTGGTGATGCAGGCAGCAGCTACTACGGAGGCAGCTACGTTTACGTTGAGGCCAGCTCCCCCAACTATCCAAGCAAGACAGCCATCTTCAAGAGCCCGGTGCTTGATGCCATGCAGAGGTACGTCTTGACCTTCAAGTATCACATGGAAGGAGAAGACATGGGATCTCTGGATGTTGAGGTTGGAGATGTGCACGGAGCCTTCCGTTCCATCTGGCACAAGGCCGGGAGTCAAGGTAACGATTGGAACACGCAAAGTCTGGGCATTAGTTCGGCTGTCGCCGTTCGCTTCGTTGCGATCACGGGCCTCGGATGGTCAAGCGACATTGCTGTGGATGATATCGACATGACATTGTGCCTGGTATCTTCTCCTGGCCTTTCTTGTGATTTCGAGGATCACGCAACTTGCCTTTGGCAGGTCCCGTTTCACGAGTGGAGAGTTTATCAGAGGAGCACTCCAAGGAATGACACTGGACCATCGGCAGGCTCCTACTACATCTCTCCTCGAAGAACCTGGGGTTTCTCTGAGGCAACACGCACGCTTGAGAGCCCGATCATTGACTTCACTCAGAGCTACACGTTGACGTTTGCGTATCGCCTCGAGCTAGAAGACGCGGAGTCTCTGGGCGTTGAGATCGCAGATGTGAACGGGGCCATCCAGTCTGTCTGGCAGGTCAATGGCAGCCAACGTGTCGATTGGCAGATGATATCCTTGAGCATCAGTTCGGCTGTCAGAGTTCGAATAGTTGCTCGTAAGGGGCGAACCGATGATGACCGCATTGCTGTCGATGAGATTCGATTGGATGTGACCGGAAAACTCCCTGCTGAAACAACACTCAGCAGCACCAGCAGCACCAGCAGCACCAGCACCAGCAGCACCATCACCGTTGCGAATGTTCCCGCATCGTGTGACTTCGAAGATCAGTGTCCTTGGACAAACGAAGGGGAGATCTCTTGGACAGTGAACTCAGGTGACACTCCGAGTAGTGGCACTGGCCCTTCTGCTGCTGCCACAGGTGCCAATTACGTCTACGTTGAGGCCAGCTCCCCCAACAATCCAAGCAAGAAAGCCATCTTCAAGAGCCCGGCGCTCGATGCCAGAAGAGGCTACACCTTAACCTTCGCGTATCACATGAAGGGCAGCTCCATGGGATCTCTGGATGTTGAGGTTGGAGACGTACATGGAGCCTTCCACTCCATCTGGCACATGGCCGGCAGTCAAGGTGATCATTGGAACACGGCATCTGTGAGCATCGGTGCGTCCGCCTCCGTTCGCTTCGTTGCTGTCACAGGCGGCTGGTCAAGCGACATTGCTGTCGACGATGTCCAGATGACGTCGGCTCCGACCACCATTACCACCACCACCACTGCCACCACCACCACCACCACCACCACCACCACCACCACCACCACCACCACCACCACCACCACCTCCACCACAACCACAACCACAACCACAACCACAACCACAACTAGCAGCAGCACCAGCAGCACCACCACCGTTGCGAATGTTCCCGCATCGTGTGACTTCGAAGATCAGTGTCCTTGGACAAACGAAGGGGAGATCTCTTGGACAGTGAACTCAGATGACACTCCAAGTAGTGGCACTGGCCCTTCTGCTGCTGCCACAGGTGCCAATTACATCTACGTTGAGGCCAGCTCCCCCAACAATCCAAGCAAGAAAGCCATCTTCAAGAGCCCGGCGCTCGATGCCAGAAGGGGCTACACCTTAACCTTCGCGTATCACATGAAGGGCAGCTCCATGGGATCTCTGGATGTTGAGGTTGGAGACGTACATGGAGCCTTCCACTCCATCTGGCACATGGCCGGCAGTCAAGGTGATCATTGGAACACGGCATCTGTGAGCATCGGTGCGTCCGCCTCCGTTCGCTTCGTTGCTGTCACAGGCGGCTGGTCAAGCGACATTGCTGTCGACGATGTCCAGATGACGTCGGCTCCGACCACCATGACCACCACCACCACCGCCACCACCATCACCACCACCACCACCTCCACCACAACCACAACCACAATCACAACCACAACCACAACCACAACTAGCACCAGCACCAGCAGCACCACCACCGTTGCGAATGTTCCCGCATCGTGTGACTTCGAAGATCAGTGTCCTTGGACAAACGAAGGGGAGATCTCTTGGACAGTGAACTCAGGTGACACTCCGAGTAGTGGCACTGGCCCTTCTGCTGCTGCCACAGGTGCCAATTACGTCTACGTTGAGGCCAGCTCCCCCAACAATCCAAGCAAGAAAGCCATCTTCAAGAGCCCGGCGCTCGATGCCAGAAGGGGCTACACCTTAACCTTCGCGTATCACATGAAGGGCAGCTCCATGGGATCTCTGGATGTTGAGGTTGGAGACGTACATGGAGCCTTCCACTCCATCTGGCACATGGCCGGCAGTCAAGGTGATCATTGGAACACGGCATCTGTGAGCATCGGTGCGTCCGCCTCCGTTCGCTTCGTTGCTGTCACAGGCGGCTGGTCAAGCGACATTGCTGTCGACGATGTCCAGATGACGTCGGCTCCGACCACCATGACCACCACCACCACCGCCACCACCACCACCACCACCACCACCACCACCACCACCACCACCACCTCCACCACAACCACAACCACAACCACAATCACAACCACAACCACAACTAGCAGCAGCACCAGCAGCACCACCACCGTTGCGAATGTTCCCGCATCGTGTGACTTCGAAGATCAGTGTCCTTGGACAAACGAAGGGGAGATCTCTTGGACAGTGAACTCAGGTGACACTCCGAGTAGTGGCACTGGCCCTTCTGCTGCTGCCACAGGTGCCAATTACGTCTACGTTGAGGCCAGCTCCCCCAACAATCCAAGCAAGAAAGCCATCTTCAAGAGCCCGGCGCTCGATGCCAGAAGGGGCTACACCTTAACCTTCGCTTATCACATGAAGGGCAGCTCCATGGGATCTCTGGATGTTGAGGTTGGAGACGTACATGGAGCCTTCCACTCCATCTGGCACATGGCCGGCAGTCAAGGTGATCATTGGAACACGGCATCTGTGAGCATCGGTGCGTCCGCCTCCGTTCGCTTCGTTGCTGTCACAGGCGGCTGGTCAAGCGACATTGCTGTCGACGATGTCCAGATGACGTCGGCTCCGACCACCATTACCACCACCACCACCGCCACCACCACCACCACCACCACCACCTCCACCACAACCACAACCACAATCACAACCACAACCACAACTAGCACCAGCACCAGCAGCACCACCACCGTTGCGAATGTTCCCGCATCGTGTGACTTCGAAGATCAGTGTCCTTGGACAAACGAAGGGGAGATCTCTTGGACAGTGAACTCAGGTGACACTCCGAGTAGTGGCACTGGCCCTTCTGCTGCTGCCACAGGTGCCAATTACGTCTACGTTGAGGCCAGCTCCCCCAACAATCCAAGCAAGAAAGCCATCTTCAAGAGCCCGGCGCTCGATGCCAGAAGGGGCTACACCTTGACCTTCGCGTATCACATGAAGGGCAGCTCCATGGGATCCCTGGATGTTGAGGTTGGAGACGTACACGGAGCCTTCCACTCCATCTGGCACATGGCCGGCAGTCAAGGTGATCATTGGAACACGGCATCTGTGAGCATCGGTGCGTCCGCCTCCGTTCGCTTCGTTGCTGTCACAGGCGGCTGGTCAAGCGACATTGCTGTCGACGATGTCCAGATGACGTCGGCTCCGACCACCATTACCACCACCACCACCGCCACCACCGCTGAGAATCCATGGGTGTTGGTGAAAGGCGAGTGCACGGTCGATGTAGATGGCTGCATCTTCAGCCCAAACTATGGTGGATTGAGGAAGTACCCGGAACGGGAGGGCTGCGAGTTTGATGTGACGGCTGAGTACCCGATGGAGGTTCTGGACTTCCAGGTTGAGCGTGACAACTATGACTATCTGAAGGTGAACGGCGAGAAATATAGTGGAAGTATGCTTCCCCATGGAGAAGTGCCAAGAAGCAAGATTGTGTGGCACTCTGATTACAGCGTGACCAACTTTGGATGGAAGATTTGCCCGAAGACGGTGTAGGGCTGGTGCCATGGCGTTTGAGGTCAGCAGAACGATGCTTTCTCGGTGCAAGGACCCTATACAGCACAAATTGGTCCTGAGGAGCGAGATTGGTACTTTCCGGTGCCACAATGAAAATGGGGGCGAGTTTGGGGGGGAAGCTCGCGCTTGCATTGCCTCTGCATCCTTTCACGCGATTGAAGAGTGTCTGCTGAGCTGCACTGAAGTCATACATTGCTTTTCTCTCTCCGTTGGCTTGAAGGCTCAACTGTCGACTAGAAGCATTCTACATGTGCACAAGCCAGCCGCGGATTCTCGCGGCCCCTCATTTGGTCTCTTTAAGCCGAGAGACCCGTCGTCCGAGATGCTAGGAAGCCGAGTGGTTGCATGCATGTGATGAAGCTCGGTGGAGCCAATGTCGCGGCCTCATAGTTGACGTCGTGTCATGTGATGGCACGGCTAACTCCGAGTGATGGTCCCATGTGTGCAGATGTCGCAGTCGAGTTTTCCAGGCAATTGCACACCAAGAGGTTCCAATATCCTTTATTTAAGCAATATTCCTTAATTTAAGCAATATTCCTTAATTTAAGCAATATTCCTTTATTTAAGCAATATTTTCCTGAATTTGAAGTAGGGATCCTTATGCTATGATTGAAGGTAAAGCCCCCTATGTTCCCGAAGCCCAACGCCATGGATATTTCATTATTACATATATATATATATAGCTAGCATATATTATATGCATTATATACCTTGGAGAGCAGGCTTCTGTATGTATGTATGCATGCATGTATACATATATATATATACACAGACATACATACACAGACATAATATGCACCCTAAACCTTTAGCCTTCAACGCTAGAAACCCTAAACCCTAAACCTTCAACCCTAAACCCCTAAGCCCTAAGCCCTAAGCCCTAAGCCCTATAAACCTTAAGCCCTAGGGCCTAAACCCTAAACCCTAAACCCTAAACCCTAAGCCCTAAGCCCTAAACCCTAAACCCTAAACCCTAAACCCTAAACCCTAAACCCTAAACCCTAAACCCTAAACCCTAAACCCTAAACCCTAGCCCTAAACCCTAAACCCATTAAACCCCTAAACCCTAAATAGCCTTTGGGTTGTTCATGCGAACAGGGTTTAGGGTTTAGGGTTTAGGGTTTAGGGTTTAGGGTTTAGGGTTTAGGGTTTAGGGTTTAGGGTTTAGGGCTACTCAGGCCTGAGTTGCCCGAGTGCGAGTTCTCGCGGCGTCTGGCACAGCGCTGGCTTGCTGGAAAGAGGCCGAAGCAAGATTCGGGGTTCAGGGTTTAGGGTTTAGGGTTTAGGGTTTGAGGATTTTAGGGCTTCAGGGTTTAAGGTTTGAGGATTTTTAGGGTTTCAGGGTTTTCGGGCTTTCGGGTTTTGGGGTTCAGGGTTTAGGGTTTTCGGATTTGCGGTGCCGGGCCTTGGGTAGACTATTGTGGAGCTTAAGAAAGCAGGGCCTGCTGAGTTAATTGGTTTAGGGTTTAGGGTTTAGGGTGAGCTTAAGATGTTTGGGAATGATGGATGAGAGCAGGGTTTTATGGCAGCAACCGCGACCTCTAGTTGCTTCAATGGGTTGGGGAAGAAGCCTGTGCTGCATCCCATGAACTCATGTAATGGGCTGTGTCCAGATGCGCCGCTGGCAGGATCCAAACAGTCACGGCTGCGAGAGACAAGATCGTGTTTGATGAGGTGCCGGGAGCGGACATGCTTCTACATGCGTTTGCACGAGTGCTTTACCTGACTACAAGACCTCAGGTCGTGATAGTCGTGATGCAAGTGAGTGGTTGAACATCCCTGTCCATTCATGCGCTGTTGCAGAGTGCAAAGGAGGCGTAGACAACGAGGAGGGCTGTTGAACGTCGGTGCAACGCGTCAATTAGACCACAAAATGCAGGTCCAGCCTGCAACCTTCTCGCGCAAGTTGTGCAATCGGCGGATTGTTGCTTGCAGGCGCGGCTCCCTAAACGTGACTTCTTGCCATGAGAGTCAGATGTGTGGCGGCGGGATCTCACTGACCATGTGACTTTTTGGAGCGGCATTCATGTGTCTAGGATGTCAAACAATGTTGCAGGCAGGTGAACCGAAAACAGGATCTCTTGCAGCATCTACTGGGTTAGGGTTTAGAGGGTGTAGGGTTTAGTGCTTAGGGTTTAGGGTTAGGGTTTAGGGTTTAGGGTTCAGGGTTCAGGGTTCAGGGTTCAGGGTTCAGGGTTTAGGGTTTAGGGTTTAGGGTTTAGGGTTTAGGGTTGGGCAACATTCCAGCTGGGAACCGTTGGCTTGTACGCCTTGATGATGGAAAAGACATGTCCTGAGCCTGGGATCAAGCGCCGCTGACATGTGTCTGTCACAAACTCACGCAGGACCATTCAGGTGTCGATGATCATTTCGGTTGTTTGTGTCTAGAACTGCTGGAAATCTTGCATCATGAACGGCTCCATGACCTCGTGGCTGCGCACCCTCCCCGTCTTCACCTTGGCCTTTGTTGTTCGCGGCAGTGATTGTGGCTCCTCCCTGGATTGTGTGAAGGGCACGTTGGCAGCCGTCATGCAGGCGGCAGAAGCGAAGGCTAAGGCAGAGGGAGAGCTCGAGGATCGCTACAACTGCCTTCAGGGACTGCAGGACTTCGTGTCCTGGCAGCAGGACCGGAAGGACTATTGCTGCACCAAGCACGGCTTGGGCTGCCCAGGAGAAGCTCCCGACACAAAAACCATCTACGTAAGCAGTGGCGAGACGGTGGACGAGGACGTGTCGGATGAGTTTGCGGTGAAGTTTGCTGAGCACGCCGCGAACTCTGCAGGCTGGAGCTATAGTGCCTCCACCAAGTCGGGCGGGCCTTTGCCACCTTGGCTCAGCTTTGACCCGAATACGCTCAAGCTCAGCGGCACGGCTCCAGATGAGATGGAAACGGATGTTGCTGAAACTGGGTTAGGTTTTGGGACCTTTTCTCTATTTCCCTTACATCGGGTTTAAGAGGATCATGTTCAGGAATATGTTTCAGAGGGTTTTTGAGGGCCATCCTAGGTGAAGGCGGTGAGTATGTCTGCTCCTCCCGTCACCTCGAACTACAACATCCGGAGCAAGGCGATGCCGCCCACGGAGCTGGAGGTTCTTGCAATCGCGGGACACCCGATGAACTACCCCTTGCCTTCATCTTCCCTTGACTCCACGACTCCCAAGCAGTATGAGATGAAAATTGCGCCCGGCAGCAGCGTGCCTGAGTGGCTCCTGTTTGATCAGACGTCCGGCACCTTGTCTGGCGTCCCTCCGCAGAAGGACGAGTACACGCTGCACATCTCAGAGGGCAGTGGAAGCGAGGAGAAGACTCAGATTGTCAAGCTCCGGGTAGAAGAATCCGGCAACACTGGCAAGACAGATGTACATGGAGTGACAGCTACTGATGTTGAACTTCCCCCGGCGGTGGGGGAGGTCGCGGCACCATTGCAATACACCTTGCCTGCTGGAGCTGCAGATCCTTCCAGCACGGCCTCCACGGCGGATGGTGAGGTTCTGCCGGCCTGGCTTCACTTTGACGCTGCTTCCGGAAAGCTCTCCGGAACTCCAACACAACCGGCGGAGATTCCCGTGCAAATCAAGTCCGCGACTGAAGTGGATCACATCAAAGTCAAGGTCCACGCATCGCCTTCGGCCGAGAAGGACAACAATCCTGTCCACGAGGTGGTTGCAATCACAGGACACGCCATGAATCACCAGTTGCCTTCATCTTCCGTGGACTCCACGACTCCCAAAATGTATCACATGAAAGCGGCGCCCGGCAGCAGCGTGCCTGACTGGCTCCTGTTCGATCAGACGTCCGCTACATTGTCTGGCGTGCCTTCGGAAAAGGGCGAATACACGCTGCACATCTCGGAGGGCAGTGGAAGCGAGGAGAAGACTCAGGTTGTCAAGCTCCGGGTAGAGGAATCCGGCAAGACAGATGTAAATGGAGTGGCTGCTACTGATGTTGAGCTTCCCCCAGCGGTGGGAGAGGTCGCGGCACCATTGCAGTACGCCTTGCCTGCCGGAGTTGCAGATCCTTCCAGCACGGCCTCCACGGCGGATGGTGAGCCGCTGCCCTCCTGGCTCAGCTTTGATGCTGCCTCAGGCAAGTTGTCGGGGACGCCAGCACAAGCCGAGGAGATTCCCGTGCAAGTCAAGTCAGGCACGGAAGTGGATCACTTCAAAGTCAAGATCCACAGCAAGAACCAGCAGTCGGTGCCTCCCCTGGATCCCAAGGAGAGCACAAGGACTTGCCCACTGAGCGACATGATGTGCTCGCCCTTGGACATGAACATGACACCCTCCAAGGCCATCCAGGAGTTCGCGGATGCCCACGCCTGCCAGCTCGCCTGTCGAGAAGAGCCGTCCTGCGGCTGCTTCTCTTACTTCCCGAGCCTCAAGCTCTGCCACTTTGCGTCTCGGCAGCCCAGCTTGGTACCCTTTTTCCCTTTTCTTTTTTTGTTTGGTTCAAGGTCCCCTTATGAAGTAGCCCACCCGAAAAAGGGTGCCCTTATCGTAATCTAAACCCTAAACCCTAAACCCTAAACCCTAAACCCTAAACCCTAAACCCTTACTGCAATATGGTTACTGGGCCACTAAGGCATCAACCATGGCAACGCTCGGCCCGGGCGGCGGTGGCTGGCAGGGCAACTATGCCTTCTGCGACAAGGCGATGACCGGAGCGCTTGGGGATACGGCCTTTGAGAAGCTCGGGGGCCCTTTTGGGGGAGTTTTTTTTTGTTTTTTTTTAATTTTCATGTTTATACCTTTTCTTGGGCTTCAAGAGGAGTTAGGGTTTGGGAACATTTTCAGGTTTATACCCTTCTTGGGCTTCAAGAGGAGTTAGGGTTTAGGGATATCTTTTTCAGAGGGTCTTCTACGGCCCCTCCTAGGAAAGTCATGACCGACTCCTGTCTGGCACAGAACGTCTCCCTGGCCCCCAAGACGACACGGCCGGACGTGTGGCCCACGACCTATGTGGACACCCTGAGCCTAGGTCGGACTTTGCTACAACTTTATCGTTTTATGAGTTTAGGGGCTCCTCTAATTTCATACTAACGGAGGTAACATCTTAAAATTTATTGGGGGGTTAAAGAGCAGCCAAGGAATGATTGTCGTAAACGGTGTGCTCACGCTGGCAAGGACTGCAAGAGCTTTGTGTTCAACACCATGTCTCTTGGAGTCGATTTTGGCACTTAAGTTGTAACAAGCACCCGCCGAAGTTTCACAAGAAGGTTTCCGTTTTGCGAGGGCCCCTAGCTCTTAGATGCCCTAAACCCTGAAACTAAACCCTAAAACCCTAAACCCTGAACCCTTAAACCCAAACCCTTAGCCCCTAAACCCTAAACCCTAAACCCTAAACCCTAAACCCTAAACCCTAAACCCTAAACCCTTAAACCCTTAAACCCTTAAACCCTTAAACCCTTAACCCTAAAGGTCCAAGAGCTGCGACTTGCAAGACATCACGGCCGCCGTGGAGCCGGCTCCACCATTTGAAATGGCTGGACCAAGGGTCTGCCGCTTGGCTGAGTGGTGCCCTGTTGTTGCACTTTTTGTTTTCTCTTCAGGCGGGTTTAGAAGTTTTAGGGTTTAGGGTTTGGGGTTTAGAGTTTAGAGTTTAGTGTAGAAGGTTTAGGGTTTAGGGTTAGATGGTGTTTAGGATTGAGGGTTCCCTAGCCAACCCCAAAAGGGGTATCCCTCATTTTAAAGATGTGGTTGCTGGGGCGACCGAGGCAACATGAAGGTCCACTTCACAGTGACCATCAGCGATCCCCCGCCGTTTCGAAGCTGACTTAGGGTTCTAGGGTGGGCTGACTTAGGGTTTAAGGTTTCGGGTTTAGGGTTAGGGTTTAATGAAATTATTAAGGGTTTAGGTCCGGGGAAGTTTCGAGGAAAGTTTCCAGGAGCTTCTTTTTTTGGATGTTTCTTAATCATTTCAAGTTCCAGGGGGCTTGAGGGATTCGGGCTCAGGGTTTAGGGTTTAGGGTTTTGGGTTCAGGGTTTTGGGTTTAGCGTTTAGGGACGGGTAATCACTGGAGATTTGCAAACAACACATTCTGAGGAAGGTTCCACAAAAGGCGTCTAAAGACTCCTAGTATCTTTCAAGGAATATTTACCTTATCCAGAGATACTAAGATAGCAGAGCCTGTGAGTAGTGACCACTCAGTTTTTTCCTCTCGCGCTTTTCTTGAGCTCTGCGCACGGCTGATCTCCAATTGCACATGGGGCGGCTAAACCCTAAACCCCAAACCCTAAACCCTAAACCCTAAACCCTAAACCCTAAACCCTAAACCCTAAACCCTAAACCCTAAACCCTAAACCCTAAACCCTAAACCCTAAACCCTAAACCCTAAACCTTAACTCAGGTTCGCGCAGAAGCATCCCGAGCTTTTGCAGACAGTTATGGACAAGGTGCCAATGCAAGTCCCCCTCAAGATAAGGTTTAGGGTTTAGGGTTTAGGGTTTAGGGTTTAGGGTTTAGGGTTTAGGGTTTAGGGTTTACGGTTTAGGGTTTAGGGTTTAGGGTTTAGGGTTTAGGGTTCAGGGTTTAGGGCTTAGGGCTTAGGGTTTATGGGGTTAAGCGCTTAGGGTTTAGGGTTGTTCCCTTCACTCATACCGATCCCAGACCCTAAACGATAAACCCTCAGTACAGGGTATGGGAGCCTTTGATAGGCATGCCAGTGCGGATCCGTGAAATTGGGATGCAAGTCCTCTGTGACTAACCCTACACCCTAAACCCTAAACCCTAAACCCTCAGCCCTAAACCCCTAAACCTGCAGGTGCTGCGTGAATTTGCTGGGGACTATCCCACCTTCGACGGCCTAAATCAAGTTTCCTCCGAGCCAGCGCTTCTGACGCGCGAGATAGAGACTAACGACCCTTGGCTGCTGTTTAGGGTTTAGGGTTTAGGGTTTAGGGTTTAGGGTTTAGGGTTTAGGGTTTAGGGTTTAGGGTTTAGGGTTTAGGGTTTAGGGTTTAGGGTTTAGGGTTTAGGGTTTAGGGTCCCCTAAGCATCCAAAACCCATCCCCACACAGAAAGCCCCCCCCCCCCCCCGCCCCTTCAAACCTTCCTCGGCAAGCTCAGCTACGAAAATCTCACACCCTGAGGTCACCACGAACTCAGCTGAAGCCATCGTTCTGGATGTGGAGCTCCATGCGCCCGAACAGCGCTTGCAGTTCATCTACAGGAAGGTCATCCACCAACCCGACCTGAAGGAAAGGTTCCACAGCATAGTCCAGCAGTACCTCCCGGCCGACGTGGCGCAACTTGGTGGCCCAGTGGTACCCTCTACCCTTTTTTTGGGTTCTGGGTTCCCTCCTCAAACAACCCAACTCAAAAAAGGGTGCCCCTTATTATAATAAACCCTAAACCCTAAACCCTAAACCCTAGACCCTAAACCCTAAACCCTAAACCCTAAACCCTAAATATGGTTCCTGGGCTACCAAGGCAATATCTCGGAGGGAACGTGGAGATCTCCCGGGGCGAGGCCAAGTTCCGCGGCCAGAACCTTGGTCATAGTTGGGCTTTATTTTGCATCTTTTAAGGGTACCTAAACCCAACAAGGAATATATGTTTAAAACTTACAGGGTGCTTAAACCCAATAAGGAATATATGTTTAAATTCTTAAGGGTACTTAAACCCAATAAGGAATGCAAGTTTAAAATTCTTAAGGGTGCTTAAACCCAATAAGGAATGCAAGTTTAAAATTCTTAAGGGTGCTTAAACCCAATAAGGAATCTAAATTTAGGTTTTTAATACCCTAAACCCTAAACCCTAAACCCTAAACCCTAAACCCTAAATCCTAAACCCTAAACCCTAAACCCTAAACCCTAAAGAGCCAGGAACTACCAGCAGAGCCTCTACAAGCGCCTCGAGGACAAGCTCCAGGGCAAAGCGGCGATCGAGGGAAGAGCGGCTCGGACACGGAGTCGGCCCTTTTATTTCCCTTTTTTTGGGGTTTAGGGTTTAGGGTTTGGGGTTTAGGGTTGAGGGTTTAGGGTTGAGGGTTTAGGTTCCCTTACGAGCCCCTGTACACCAGCAAGGGCGCCCTTTTTTTATTCCTAGGTTACTCCTCGGCCTAGGTGGGATATCGCACGTTGGGCACCAACATGGCGGGCGTCCTCTGCCTCGGAGCCTGGGTCTTCTGGCTGGTTCTCAGTAGGGAGTGAGGGAATGAGTACCCTATATAATCCCTAAAAGGGTATATATACCCTAAACCCTAAACCCTAAACCCTAACCCCTAAACCCTAGACCCTAGACCCTAAACCCTAAACCCTAGACCAGAAGGTCTTCCTGGGCCTGGGCTTCCTGACGTATCGCCGCCGGTCCGTCGAAGCTCAGCGCATCTTGTGCCGGGACGACTGCCAGGCCTCAGGGAGAATCCTTCCCCCCCTTCCCCCCCCCGCCCCCCCAAAAAAAGAAAAAAAATCGAAGTATGTGTTTAATACACCGTTCCCTCCTTCCATCTCCTCGCACCTGCCTGCCTTGGGATATTGGTGTTTGTTTTTTTGTTGTGTGTGTCTCTGTGTGACTCTGTGTGTGTCTCTGTGTGTCTCTGTGTGTCTCTGTGTGTGTCTCTGTGTGTGTCTCTGTGTGTGTCTCTGTGTGTCTCTGTTGCGTCTCTGTGTATCTCTGTTGCGTCTCTGTGTGGCTCTGTGTGTCTTTGTGTTTCTCTGTGTCTCTCTGTGTGTCTCTGTGTCTCTCTGTGTCTCTCTTTGTCTCTTTGTGTCTGCTTGCGTTGTGTTGCGTTGTGTTGCGTTGGGTGGCGTTGGGTGGTGTTGCGTGGAGTGGCGTTGTGTTGCGTTGCGTTGGGTTGGGTTGTGTTTTTGTTTTTGTTTTCCAATGCCGGACACACCTTCTTTCCGACGCGATCCTCTGTGATTTTTGTCCCTTCTGCTTGCAGCCTAGTTGGCTGGTTGGATGCTGCGAGGTGAAGCTCAAGCTCCTTAATGGATGATGTGAATAAGTTCTTGCACTCATTCTATGTGGGGTTCATTGTTCTTTAATTTAGTTCATTCTAATTCACGACCCCAAGCCCGAAGCACTTTAAACCCCAAACCCTAAGTCTGTTTTCGTTGTCGATCGTACCAATGCGCCAAACGGGGGGGGGGGGGGGCTTTGTGTTTTTGTTGTTAAGGCCAAAGTCCAAAACCCTAAAGCCTAAACCCTAAACCCTAAACCCCGAACGCTCTGGGAGGGGGGGGGGGGGGCGAATTGCCCGCAGTGCAGGATCAACAGAAGGGACGTCAACTCGCGAGTGCATCTTGATTTGAGTTACGTTGACTGCGTTTACAAAGCTGGTGTCTTCTTTGATGTTGTGGTTAGTCTGCATCTCAGGCGGACCGAGCGCTACTTCTGGAAACGTTTGATGAACGTCATGTGAGCGGTTTGGAAGGCTTAGGGACGTATGACGACGCCGTCGAAGACGCCGTTCCTGTGTAAGCATCATGGCAAGATAGCCGAGCGGCACTATGGCTTGTCGGTAAAGACGTATACATTAGTCTTGCACAGCCTAAATGGCTGT